CCCGCGAAACATCCCACGAGACACCTCACGAAACATTCCACGAGACACCTCACGAAACATTCCACGAGACACCCGTGAAACATTCCACGAGACACCCCACGAACAGGCAACCACTCAACCAGACACGCCACGAAACATTCCACGGGGGTGCGACTGGGTGTGGTCGTGCTGGGGTGTGGTCGTGCTGGGGTGTGGTCGTGCTGGGGAGTGGTCGTGCTGAGGTCGTGCTGGGGTGTGGTCGTGCTGGGGGGTGGTCGTGCTGGGGGGGTGGTCGTGCTGGGGGGTGGTCGTGCTGGGGCGTGGTCGTGCTGGGGCGTGGAGCACGACCACCCCCCAGCACGACCACCCCCCAGCACGACCACACCCCAGCACCGAAATTCCTTTGCGCGGGGCGCTTTTCCGCGTCGCGGTCGGCTCTGCAAAACAAGCGTTTCGCTCGAGACATCCTCGGCAAACTCTGCGGAGCAAGCGTTTCGCTCGAGACATCCTCAACACACGAAAAAGTGGCCCGCACCCTGTGATTTATCGATCGGGATTTCAAAAACAAGCGTTTCGCTCGAGACATCCTCAAATTTTAATTCGCCAGCCTCCTTCGACCTCGATATTCATCAGGGAAAAAATTCGCCAGCCTCCTTCAAGTTGGCACCGGGGGATTAGGTTTACCAACTAAAAGAGAACCCTGGGCCCCCGCCCTTTCCGGGAAAAAGTAGATTCTCAAGAAGATTCTATTTTTGTCCACTTTTTCGCGCCTCTCGTTATTTCGCATGAAACGCAAGGAAACCTTGAGATGAATGCTAGTCGCTTTTGAAAACTCATACTCTCGTGGGGCAGCGGCTGAGGAAACCTGAACGGCCTGAGAAAAGGAATTCCCCGTCGTGCCAGGCCATGCAAATATTCTCTTGGAGAGATACTGCACTCATGCGCCGCAGCTCTTTCTTGAACTGCTTTGTATGCCAATTGCACACCAACCTCTTCGGCAGCTTCGCATTGATGCGTTTCAACGTATGCCGCACGCGATTCTCATTGGCCACGTGCCGTTTCCTGTGGTCTTTCTCCTCACCATACCAGCAAAAGAAAAATTTATTTGCATTGGGGCCTGCAATGACGAGAGCCTGCCACTGCTCAGACCACGCGAATAACTGAGACGGCATTTGCATGTCCGCACAACCCAGCGGCGCTAACATATTTTTGATTATAAATCGAGTCGAATCTTCTCCGCCGAAATCACGTAGAGATAACATGTGCTGAAAAGCCTCGTCCACGCTACTGGCTTTGGCAATGCCAACCAATGCTTTCAATTTATCCCCTTCGAATGTATTGAGCACTGCCGCCGCGCACGTGGCATTCTGTCCTGGGCCAACGCCTACAAAATACCTTGAATCGGACGTCTTCCCGTCACCACATGGCCCCTTATGGTTTTGGATAAACGAGAAGACATCATCCATCTCTGTCAAGCGCGGGGCTTCGCTCTCCAAGAAAAAGGTTGCAACCGAGCGGCTTCTGCCCGACCACACCAAGAATGTTGTGCGAATCGCGCCCATCTTGTCCTTGAGAGTCCGCGCGCCGGCACGCAAGCGATCATACAACGGTAAAAACCCTTGAATGTCATCTTCCAGATGAACGTTGTGGCGCTGGCTGTGGATAAAGTCAGATGCTAATGAGCACTCTGGAACACCCGGCGTCATCAATTCGCGCACCCGGTTCCTCCTTAGCATCATGCGATGAAACTGGGAGGTGCTGATTTCACCGCCGTCGACCGTGGTCTCTAAGACAAAATCTTTAAATTCTTGCAACAGCGTTTCACTGTGCTCACCATCCTCGCCCTTGTGTACTTTGAAAGCTGCCCTTAGCTCACGGCCCATGATGTAAACCAAAAGAATGTCATCCATCAAGCCTTCCCAATCATCACGCCGCTCTCCTGGGTTATCGAACAAGGCTTGGTACGAGCCTCTAGAAATCGCGCCCATTTTGCTCCTTTTGAGAACGTTAGCTGCATGTGCCCATTTGACTTTCCCCGGGTTGTTCAATGCAGCCTTGCTGACCTCGTCGAGCCAAGGGCGACGCCCCGTCTTGTTGATTGCTTGCGGCGCTAGCGTGACACTCACAAGCTGGTAAACATCTGCTGGGAGATGCGCAGAGAAAAAGTGAAGTACGTGCGCTTGCTTTGCTAAAGACTTCCACGTGACATGCACCCTCGATTTTTCTAACCAGGACGTCTTGATCGCGCACTGGCGCGCTTCTGACCGAGCACGAATGCAGCTATGAACTGTCTGCGCTCGCCTGATAGATCCACAATCAAGTATCCAATCAAATCCAGAGGGCGCCGCCATGCACGTAGAAGGAGCGAAATAACAAGTCCTCGCAAACGCAAAAGGTTTTACAGGTTTGGGGGGTTTTCTTGGTTTCGGTTTCCCGACGCTCCAAGACAGCCCAAGAGGCCCCCAAGATCGCCCCAAGACGACCCAAGACGGCCCCACGACGACCCAAGAGGCCCGCAAGACGGCCCACGAGGCCCCGAGGTTCTTGGTTTCGGTTTCCCGACGCTCCAAGACAGCCCAAGAGGCCCCCAAGATCGCCCCAAGACGACCCAAGACGGCCCCACGACGACCCAAGAGGCCCCCAAGACGGCCCACGAGGCCCCGAGGACGGCTCCAAGAGGGAGCCCATACGGGGGACCCGAACGAACATATCCAGCCCTCCGCCAGAAGGGCGCCCAGGAAGCCCCAACGAGGCTCCCAAGAGACCCCAAGAGCCTCCCAAGAGGCCGCCAAACTACCCCCGAGAGGCTCCCGAGAGCGCTCGTCGTCGTCGTCGTTCAGTGTCGGCGGCACCGGCCGCAAGGCCTCTCCAACAACAGTTCGTCGCAAATGCACAAAGATATTTGAGCCAAGAGCCAAAATGGCTACGACATGTTCAATACAATATTAAGGCAAGCAACGATTGCAATACGCCCCAGCACCCGGGAAGGACCTCTTGGGGGCCGCCTTGGGGTGGCATTCCTAAGGAGCTGTCGCCGTGTATGTCTATCCCCGTATTCTGAATCAGGACCGGCCCTGGGCCGGTCGGGGCGTCTTGGGGGCTTCTCTGGGGCATGCTGGCGGGCTCCGGGGTTCCTTTGGAGCGGAGGGCTCGAAAACTCAAATCCAGTTCCCCCTCTTGGGGCCTTCCTGGGGCCCTTTTGGGCCGTCATGGGATCCTCATGGGGGCCTTGGGCTCTTGGGCCGTCTTGGGGCGACCTTGGGACATCTTAGGTTGTCCTGGTCGCTGCAACGGTCCGAAAGGCAAACATGTTCCTCGTTTTTTTCTTCTCGCTGCGGGAAGAGGCGCCGAGGTGGCCCCAAGACCGCCTTGAGATGGCCCCAAAACCGCCAGCCAACCAACCAACCAGCTAGCCAACGCGCCAACCAGCCAACCAAACAACCGGCCGCTCCAGTTTTCAATGCGTACAGCCACAATGGTGCAAAATACATGGGGAAATCCATATCCAGAGCACAAGCCCTCCGAGACGAAAAAGTAGATTATCAGGAAAAAGCTACTTTTTGAAAGTTTTCGCGCATCTCGTTATGTCGCATGAAACGCAAGGAATCCTTGAGATTAATGCCAGCCGCTCTTGAAAACTCGGCGTCCTCTTAGGGGTTTTCTTGGGCTGCTGCGGGCCCCCCGGCTTCCTCCTCGTTCTCATTGTTCTCTCCTCCTCCTCCTCTTCTCCGCCTCCTCCTCCTCCTCCTCCTCATCCTCCTCATCATCATTCTCATCATCATCATCATCATCATCATCATCATCATCATCATCATCATCATCATCATCATTCTCATCATCATCATCATCATCATCATCATCATCATCATCATACGCGTTTTCAAAGCAGTGCTGAAGGTGTCGATGGCGATGTGCTGTGCCAGGGGCTGTGCTGTGTTGTGCTGTGCTGACTTTGAATTTGCCATGCTGCGCTGAAGTGTGCTGTGCTCAAGTGCGTTGTGGATCAACTCGCCCGTGGCCTCCGAATCCTGGCTGAACTGACTTGGATCTTAAGCCCGAGCTGTCTGAATGCAGAACTCGCCCTGGAGCTGGTCGCAATCGAAACATCCCACGAGACACCTCACGAAACATCCCAGCTCTGTTGCGCTGTGGATCAACTCGCCCGTGGCCCCCGCGCTCTGGCCGAACTGATTTGGATCTTAAGCTCGAGCTGTCTGAACGCATACCGCGCCCAGAGCTGGTCGCAATCGAAACGCGCGCGGGTTCTCAACCAGCTCGAGTTCAAGATTCGATTCAGTTCCGAAGCGGGGCGAAGCAAGAGGGGGCGAACCCGAACCGAGGCAAACCACACCGACAACGGACGGAACATCCTACAAAAGACCCCGCGACGGACGACGACGACGAGCACGCCGGCGCAACGACAGCGCGGACGAGGACGACTACGGCGGCGAGAACGGCGGGGAGTTTCCAGGCGGGGATAGCCTCCTTATCCCCGCCTGGAACCCTCGAATGGGGTGGATTATCTGCGATCCTTCGCGCGGGCGACGACGAAGACGGGGTTCGAGAGATCAAGGGGGGAAGATTGCATTTCCCGCCGCTCTGTCGGGCCAGCTGCCCATATCTGCGCGGCGAAAGCAGGAGCGGCAGAGCCGGGCGAAAGACGCGGGGGCGAGGGCTGACCCTGAGGGTGCAATGCCCAAGCCTGCGCCGCGCGGAGAGGAGGAGATGCGAACGGGGAAGTCGGCTGACCCTGGGGGTGCAATGCCGAGCAGGATGAGAGCGAGAAGCGCGGCCCGGGGCGCATCCGGCTCCCAGTGCACTCCAGCTCCCGCCAAGCAGAGCAGGGACAGACGAGGCCTGACCCTGGCGGTGCAATGCCGCGCAGCACAGAGCCGACCCTGAAAGCGCAACGCCTGGCGCGGTAGAAGGAAGACAAGGGCTGACCCTGAGGGTGCGATGCCCAGCGGAGAGAACGAGGCGGAACGAGAAAACCGGCCGACCCCGGGGGCGCAATGCCGCGGTCAGCGGTGGACTCTGTAGGCACACCAGTCGGAGATCTCCCTCATCCGGTCGAGCTCGCTCCCGGCCCTGTCCGCGGCGCCCATCTGCGCCGAGCCCACGTGGCCGAGGAGGTCCTGCACCTCGCTGGCTTCAAGGGCGAAGACCGCCGAGTGCAAGGAGTCGCAAAGCCAGGCGGCGTCGCCGTCTCGAACGGCCTCTGGAGGTCGAACGAGCGCGATCCAATGTCGAGGGCATGGCTGGTGCAGGATGACACCCAAGGCGTGGTTGCCGTTGAAGACAGCCAGACAGCTGTCGGAGTCCCCCACGGCGAGGATGGCGCCCTGGTGGTCCGCGCCCTGCAACAAATCGAAATGGCACCCGCGCTCTGCGAGGTTCTGACGCAACCCCCCGTCGTCGAAATCCCCCTCGGGGTAGAGTCCGTCTCTCGCGCCCTGCCGGAACTCCTCGGCCGACAGCTGCGGCATGCCCGCGTGGCCCAGGCAATGGTTCACCGCGAAGAAACCGCACGTGAGGCCCAGCTGGGTGCCGGACGCGGGGTCGACCTCGCCCATGAGAGGATTGTTGAACCACGCGGGCGCGCGCCTTCGTCGGCCGATGGCGCGGCCGAGCAAGGAACAGTGCCAGCCGCCGGCGCTGGCCGAGGGCGCCGACGGCAGGGTCGACTGCGTCGAAGAGGCCGGCGCCGCGCCAGGAGGCGCGCAGGCCCGCTCGCCCTCGCCCCCGGCGCCCTCGCCGCGCGACCGCTTCCGCCGCGGCGGAGCGCCCCCGGGCTCGTCGGGCGGCGCGGTCGGCCGGTCCGTCTTCGAGCGCAGTTCCTCGCGCGGCCTCTTGCCCCGGAGTCTCCTCCGCGGGGCCGCGTCGGGCCTCGCCTCGGCCGAGGCGCTTGCGACGGGCCGGGCGCAGGCGGCGCCCGCCCTGATCCAGTCCTCGGCGATATACAAGAATCTGCCCTGGCGGTCGGGGTCCAGCGGGCACTCCGGCACGTCCTCCCAGGCCGGCGCCCCCAGCTCCTTCTGCGCGCGCAGCATCCTGCGCGAAGTCCTCCTGCTGAGCGTCGCAGCCGCGCCCAAGAACTCGATGAGGTAGTCCGGCGGCCCTTGCTCGAGGATCGACCAGTCCAGATCGCCGGTGCTCTCGTCGAGCGGGAAGTTCTGCAGCAGCATCCACTCCAGCTTCCTGGCTCTTCCAAGGATCATCCAGACGTGCTGGAAGTACTCCCCCCGGCGATCCTCGCCCTGCATCGTGCCAGGCCGAAAGAGGTCGACGACGAAACCTTTGGGCTGGCCCTCGGGCCCGCGGATAGTGCGGCCCTGGATGCTCTGGAAAGTGAGCTGGTCCTCGGGCGCCCAACTGAGCTGCGTGCGCGCGACCTGCAGCCCCTTCTTCTGCTTGCTCTTGACGACGAACTGCTTGGCCCGAGGCGCGCCCGGGTGATTCACCGTCTGCACGCGCGCGACGGGCAACTCCCACTCGTCCTGCACAGGCTCCAGATGGAACACGCCCCGCTTGCCCAGGCCAGTGTAGTCCACCTGGTCGAGATCTGCAAACGCCCGCGTCGCGTCGCACTGCCGACGCGAACTGATATGGATCGCAAGGTCGCGCTGCCTGAACACGCGAGCAGCTCGAGCTCAAGATCCGATTCAGTTCTGGATTCCAAAGAGGGGCCTCGGTCCCGCGGGGGGGCCCAGCCCCCTTCCCTCGCCCCCCGCAGTCGCGGCCCCCCTGAAGTTCGGCGCGGTCGTTTGCAGAGCTCGCCAAGGGGCCCACCGTGCTTCCGTCCCAGCGAATCTCGAGGTGCACGGGGAGATAATCGCAAACAACGAATCCTCGCTGCCAGCAAGGGTGATTCGGCGAGGGCCGTTCAGAACCGCCGCCGAGATTCTCCCCGAAGCCGAATCGCTCCCGCGGGTGAAAGCGGATGCCCACGACCTCGCCCGTGGCCTCCTGCACCAGCTCCGGCCCCATGACCTTCTTCGCGAGCCGCCCTCGCATGCCCAAGTAGGCCGCGCACATGCCCGGCAGGCCGTTGCTCTTGGAGAGGTTCATGAACTTCAGCGCCTCGAGGTACATGTCTCGGTCCTGGTGGTGCTTGAAGCGGTCCACGGCCTGGAAATAATAGACGAGCTGCCCGCGCGCCCCCGAATGCGCCGCGCTGAAGCCGTGGCGACGAAGATCCGGCCGGCCGTCCTCCCCGTTGAGCAAGGCCCTGGGGCCAGGGCAGACCCTCGCGGAGGCGAGCACGTGGAGCTGCTGCAGGCGCGCGACCTGCTCCCACTGGATCGCCGCGCGAGCGCCGAGGGCGAAGAAGCCCCGAACGCCCTCCAGTTCGTAGTCCATGGACATCCTCGGGTCGTCGGGGCCCCGCTGGACGCGATCTCTGATCTTCGCGCGCAAGTCGTCAGGCACTCTCGCCCCGCCCGGAGTGCGCATGACCTCGAAGAGCAGCGGTAGGTCCTCGTCGAGAAAGCGGCGCGTGCCAGTGAAGACGACCACGTCGGAGGCCATCTTCCTGAAGACCTTCCAGCCGTCTTCGTCCTCGTCCGTGATCTCCCGCGGCACGCCGGGGACGCGCGCGCGGGCCAGCAGGGCTTCCAGCAGCGTGTGGCTGCAGACCGGGTTGATCTGCATGAAGTCGCCCATGATGGCCTGCGCGGGGACCTGGCCGAAGGGCTCTTCGATGGCCCTCGCCACGCACAGCCGCAGCAAGTCCTTGCGGCCGAAAGTCGCGCGGCGACTCAGGCCCGCAAGGAGCGGGGGGGACGCCAGGCCGATCTCGTCGGCGAGGAGGAGCACAAGGTACTCCCACTCGGCCTCCAACTTCTTCTTCGCCCTGGTGTTGGGTTTCAATTTACTCGCCGCGAGAGACTGCTTCCGCGTCAGCTTCGCCGCCGCGTGCATGGTCTTGCCGCCGAGGATGCGGGCGGCGCTGTTGGCCGCGGCCACGAGCTTCAGGCCCCTGTGCCCGAAGAAACGCACGACCACCTTGTTGACCACCTCGGTCATGCAATACGTCTTCCCCGAGCCCCCCGGGCCGTGCAGGAAGACGCGGCGGACCTGCACGTCTCTCGAGGCCGCTGCGAGGCCCGCGGCCGTGGACAAGCTGTCCAAGCCGTCCGTCTCGAGGGCCTTCTGCCACAGTTGTTGTATCGGTTGAAGGAGGAAGAGCGTCACCAGGTACTGCTCCTTGCTCTTCCAGACCCCAGACTCGGCGATGAGGGTCAGCGCCGCCTGCAGCGGGGAGATCGGCACGTCCTCCGGGCCGAGGCGCCTCGACGGCGCGGGCGCGTCGGAGAAGGCCGCCGCGGCGACGGGCAGATCGGCGCCCGCGGCCTCCAGATTGTCGTCCTGGGCGGCCCTCTGTTCGCGGATCGCGTCCTGGTTCTTTTTGGCGGTCTGCACGTCAGCAGGAGTCATCGCCGCCAGCCGAGGGGCGCGCTCGGGCACGGCGCAGGGCTGCCGAACGCAGGCGTAAGCGCGGCGTTGCAACTGCAAGAACGTTTCCATCAAGGCTTTCTTGTGCGCTCCCACGCGACTGCTCTTAGCCGCCTGGGCCGCCGCCGTCCGGTGCACGACGTCGTCGAACTCTTCCTCTGCCAGCCTCCAGCGAGGTCTCATGCCCTCCCTGTCCTCTCGCGCGTCTGCCACTTCCTGGCGCTCCTCCGCGGAGGAATCTTCACCTGGCAGAGCCTCGTCCAGGCCGAAGGCCCCGTCATCGTCGGAGCGATCTCCGCCGAGCTCCTCCTCCGCCACCGCGTCGCTGGGCCCCCTTGCCGGCTTCGGCAGCCCGCGGGCCTCGGCCATGTACTCCAGGCGGGCGGCCACCTCCACGTGCCGAACGGCGAAGAACATCTCGGGGGTCAGCTGGTCGTCGTGAACTCCAGGACAGGCGCAGGCGATCGACTCGCCCTCGCGGGCCGCCCGCTCGTCGAGCCGAGCGCGCTCCTCCTCCGAGCCGGCGACCCCCAGGCGCCGCCCGTCGTCGCCGCGGACGTCGCCCGCGAAGCGCAGCACGGCCCAGGCGAGGTCCACCGGGAGGGCCATGCGCCAGCACACCGCTCCGCGCGACGGCCGCTGCAGATCGGCGCCTGCGACGGGGGTCGGGATCTCGCGGCGGCGGCACCACGTGCCGTCCAAACCAGGGTCCGTCGCATGGCGGCCGCCGCAGAGCAACGGCAGGAAACTCTCGTGGACCGGGCCCCCGCGCGCGGTGCCGGGGAGATGCCAGTAACGGATGGCGGTTGCGTCGTGCAGCACGGGGCATTGCCGCGAGCGCTGCAGGGCCTGGTCGGCCCGCTTCGCCAGGACGAGCTGCTCGGCGCGATACGCGCGCCAAGGTCCCAGGAAGGAGAGAGGGGCGCGACCCCTGGCCCGCCCCCCCTCCCTGCTGCGGGACGCGCAGCAGAAGTGCTGGGCGAAGTGCACCTGGCGACAGCTGTCCGGCCCCGGGCACGCATGCGGCCTCAACAACACCTGCTTGAAACAGGCGTTCGTCTCCGGGTCCTTCTCTTCGGTCGGCATCGCGAAGCCGGAGATGTACGGCGCGGCCGGCGCGGCCCGCAGCTGCTGGACGTAGTCGGCATGCTTCCCGTAGTGGCCGGCGAAAGCGTACTCGTCTGGCGCCAGGGCGTTCGGGTCCCCGGGCACGACGCGCACCCACATGCCGTAGTCGTAATACGACATGGAGGCCAGGAGGGTCTTCGCCGCTCGACCCGACGCGCCGAACTCGGCGGAGCCGCGGTGCAAGTAGTCGTCGTAGTAGCTGTTGCTCTTCAGGCGGACCCCCGCGTTTCTCTGCTGCGGCTCGTCCGTGGCCTCCTCGGCCAAGGAGGCGCCGCGCTCCCCGCGCGCCGCGAAGGCATCGTCTGTGGGCGCGCCGCCCGCGGCCGCGACCTGCGTGGAGGCAGCAGAACCGAGCTCGGCGGCGACGCTGGCCGGCGGCGGCGCCGGGCGCGCAGCTGACCCTGCGGGTGCAATCGCTGCGCGGCGCCTCCGCGGCCCAGCCGGACTCTCGCCGCGTGTGCCCAGCGGCGACGCATGATTGCGCGGTGCCTCTGGGATGTCTGAAGCCTCGTCGGCGGCGTCGCCGTCGGCGCTCTCGTCGCGCTCCTCGGGCTCGCTGTCACAATCGTCCGGGTCAGTGGCCTGGCTGTCCACTTCCGCGGCGTCGAGGAGCACCGTGGCCTCGTGCAGCTGCTCGCGCTCGTCGAACCCCTGCCGAAGTCGTCGGCTCTCGAAGGCCAGCCACATGGCGTTCTTCATCATCAACTGCCAGGTGGAGTGGGAGCGCAGCACCTCGCGTCGGGTGAGCATCTGCATGACCATGAGGCAGTTCCCCTTCACGATGGCCTGGTTGGCAGCGGTGGCCTGTCGGATCAAGCGCCGCCGAGCCTCGTCCTGGACCTGAGGCAGGTCGAGCTTAAGATCCAAATCAGTTCGTTGAGGCGTCGCCCCTGGCGTTCGAAATCTGCGCGAGCTGATCTGGACGTGAACGTTGAAATGCCGAGGCGCAGAGCAACAAATAGCCACGCATCCAAGGAGAGCCGGGTTCCCGTCAGGAACTTGCGCGCCCGGGCAGCTCGAGCTTAAGATCCAAATCAGTTCGTGGAGAGGTTGCCCATGACGGCCGACAGCGTCGCGAACTGATTTGGATCTTCAGCTCGAACTCCCTGGGCCCGCAGATTACAATAGGGAGCCCGGCCCCGCGCCGTCTCGAGGCGCAGAGAACCGCGCGAAATCAAAACGTGCGTTCTCGACATTTGATCTTCACGTCCGCACGGGGGGCGGGCGGGCAGCGCCTTGAAACCTGCGCAGCTGGTCAGAGTCAGGCTTCCGATATCAGCGCGAACTGATTCGGGTCTTAAGCTCGAGCTCCCCGCCCCCTCGATTTTCTGCGGAATTCCCAACGCCCTCCGACCTTGCTCAGCGCGGGCCCCCTCGCCGACGGCTTCGGCACCGGCGCTGCCCCCTCCGCCTCCGCCGCTGCCGCCGCCTCTTCCTCGGTGCGGAGCCGCTCCTCCAGGCGCCGAATGCCGTCGCGAACCGCGACCAGGAGCGGCGCGCAGGTCATGTTCGGCTTCGTGGAGTAGTCGCAAGCGTAGAACATGGCCTGAACGGACTGCTTCATAATGGCGACGGTCATTGCTTTGATACTGCGCCTGAAGCGCTCGGCCGGGCCCAACCTCAGATACGCCGCCCTGCGAGCGGCTCGCTGTTGCCGGAGCCTCATCTCCGCCTCCTCATATTCCAGCTCTGGTTTGTTGGCCCTCTTGCGGGCGGCCGCAAGCTTCTCCATGTTCGCGGCGAAGCTTGCCTCGAACTTCTCGTCCTCCTCCGCCTGGAGCGAGGCCTCGTCGTCCGCCGAGAGGGGCGGGTCGCGCAGCCTGTCCCGCATCTGGACATCAAATCCGTCAAGGAAAGTGCGCATCATACTCTGGAAGTCCACGTTGGAGTTCAGCGCCGTCTGGGCCACGCCGTTGGAGCTGCCTTCCATCGGGTTCCAGCGAATGGGCATGACCAGACCCTGCTTCCCATGGTCGGGATCGAGGTTGACGACCGGGCCGAGTTTGCGCCCGGGGCGCAGGGGCACGGGCGCGCCGTCCTCGTCCAGGGGGAACATATCCGGCTCCGGTTCCCCTGGCCCCCGCGGCAGCACGAGGTCTTTGCCGGTCCGCGCCAAGGTCACCAGCTTCTTGGAGCGCTTCTGCTGCGCCGAGGAGTCCCCGCCGTCGCCGACGCGGAGCCAGAGCTTGACGAAGTGGCAGAAGTTGAAGCGGCAGTGCCGCGCGAAGCGCATGGACTTCTCGACAACGTACTTGAAGCACGTGTCCTTGTGCTGGTGCATCTGGCCCACGGCGATGTCCTGGCGGTAATCCTCGGCGTAGCGCGCGGCCCAGGCCGCCGCCTCCGCGCTCCGGCCCGCCGCGGTCTCCAGGTCGTCGCCCGTGGTCGGGCGCAGCAGCCTGTAGTGCTCGAGGCGACAGAGCTGGGCGCCCGTCTGGGGCACCATGTATTCGCTCATGGGTCGCGCCTCGGGCGCCAAGGACATCCGATGCCGTCGGAGGTGGTGGTCCTCGAATGGGGGCTCTGTGGCCAAGAAGACGCGCCGTTTCTCCGGCTCGTCCACGTCGTGCTCCAGCTCCCCATCCATGCGGCAATCCCGCTGCAGCTTCTCGGAGAAGGGCGTGTTCCTGGGCTCGGGCGCCCGGTCGGGGTCGTCGGTGAGGAGCAGCGGGAGCACGGCCGCTGAGTCCAGCTGCATGGACTGCACTGCGGCCAAGGTCTTCTCCTGCCACACGCGGAGCCGCTGCCGGATCTCCTCGGTCTCCCTGTTGAGCACGCACCGGAGCCACTGCTCGGACTGCGCGTGCACGAACCACAGGAGGATGTGCGGGTGGATGGACAGCCGGGCCTGCTCCTCGATGGGCCCGTGCAGCGCCGCCAACATGAGGAAGGCTCCGCCCGTGCACGAAGTGGCGAAGCCATCGGGGAAAGCCGCCCCGTCGCAACGGCCGTTGTGGCGCAGGTGGAGGTCCCAGGGGCCGGTGCCCAGCACGTGCTCGCAGAAAAGCTGCATGCTAAAGATGAAGAAGCGGGCCTGGGCCACCGGGTCCTGCGCCACGATCTGGAGCATCTTCCGCGCGGAGGGCATGTCCGGGGCTTCCGCGAGGAGGTCCACGGCGTGGGTCTCGCAGCCCCCCGCCGCGTGCAGGGCAAGCAAGATGGGGCTCCGCACGTCCGCGACGTTCGGAGTCAGAAAGCCACCGGCGCCGCCGAACATGAGGGCGAAGCCGTTCTGCTCGTGGCGCAATTTCGCGCGCGCGCCGTCCGAGCCGAGAACTTCTGAGGTGAACACCATGAGCTCGGAGAGCGCGTCTTTGACGTCCTGGTCCACGGCGGGGGACCGCATCGCGTCCTTCAGGGACGCATTCGGCCCTAGGCTCTGCACGGCGGCATCGAGCTTCTCCGTGGAGGCCGCGCAGATCTTCTCCAGGCGCTCCTGGAAGCCCGTTCTGTGCACGTGGCCCCTGGCCCTGCGGATCTGCTCGATGCGGCGCCCGGCGTCGTAGTAGCAGCAGATGAGATCGCGGTCGGCCCCCCAGCGCGGCTGCTCGGGCGCGACGTAGCGCCGGCACGCCTCTCTGCACGTGGGGAAACCATCTAAAAGAGAACCCTGGGCCAAAGCCCTTTCCGGGAAAAATCACGACGGGAGGTTTTTCGCTATTTTCGGCCTCCGGGGGCCCTCACCGGGCCTCGGGACCGTCAAAAAACGACTCAGGATGAAAAGCTGGCCCCGGGGAAAGGGTCCAGACCTCTGGGGGTCGACGTCGTGAAACATGATCGACCCACGAACCCGGAAAGGAATATAGAACTGTAACACATGGCAGCGTTTTCAAAGACACCTGATTGGGTGACGGGCAACTGCAATGCTGAGTGTATCGATCTTGATGTACCCTGCCAAGGGCTGTGCTGTGCTGCACCGTGCTGAATTGCGATGTGCCATGGCGCGACTGCGCTCTATAGCGTCGTGGATCGAGTCCTCCTTTGCATCCGAGTTCTGACCGAACTGATCTGGATCTTAAGCTCGAGCTGCCTGAACACAGAGTAGCTGCCCCAGAGCTAATGGACAGGGGAACATGCCAGGAGGACGCGCCGCGAAACGTCCCAAGGGATGCGCCAGGCGACGTGCCAGGGGGCGCGCCATGGGGTCGCACCGTAGGACGTGCCAAAGGGACGCGCTACGGAACGTGCCAATGGATGTGCCACGGAATGTGCCAGGGGACGCGCCACGCGACGTGCCAGGGGGACTCGCCAAGGGACGCCCCACGGAACGTGCCAAGGAACGTGCCAAGTTGCAATGCTGAGTGTATCGATCTTGATGTACCCTGCCGAGGGCTGTGCTGTGCTGCACCGTGCTGAATTGCGATGTGCCATGCCGCGACTGCGCTCTATAGCGTCGTGGATCGAGTCCTCCTTTGCATCCGAGTCCTGACCGAACTGATCTGGATCTTAAGCTCGAGCTGCCTGAACACATAGTAGCTGCCCCAGAGCTAATTGACAGGGGAACATGCCAGGAGGACGCGCCGCGAAACGTCCCAAGGGATGCGCCAGGCGACGTGCCAGGGGACGTGCCATGGGGTCGCAACGCGGGACGTGCCAAGGGGACGCGCTACTGAACGTGCTGGGGACAAGCGTTTCGCTCGAGACATCCTATCACAATCATCCGAATTCCTACGCGCGGGACGCGGCACGCGCGAGACATCCTCGGAATTCCTGCGAGCGGGACACGAAAACACGCATTGCGCCTGAGATATCCTCTGAATTCTGGCCCCCCACGAGGCCCCCGCTCGAGACATCCCCCAATTTTGCAAAACCAGCGTTTCGCTCGAGACATCCTCAACAAATTATGAAAAACGAGCGTTTCGTTTGAGAAATCCTGTCAAAACCCAAAGAAATCAAAATTCCTGCGTGCGGGACGCGGCACGCGCGAGACATCCTCGGAATTCCTGCGCGAGGAGCGCTTTTCCGTGTCGCGGTCGGCTCTGCAAAACCAGCGTGTCGCTCGAGACATCCTCAACAAATTCTGAAACCAAGCGTTTCGCTCGAGACATCCCCAACTCTGCAAAACCAGCGTCTCGCTCGAGACATCCTCAACAAATTCTGAAAAACAAGCGTTTCGCTCGAGACATCCGGTCAAAATTCTAAGAAATCCTGACAAAACAAACGAATTAGTCGAGACATCCTCGAAATTCCTGCGCGCGGGACGCGGCCCGCGCGAGACATCCTTGGAATTCCCGCGAGCGGGACACGAAACAAGCATTTCGCCTGAGACATCCTCTGAATTCTGGCCCCCCGCTCGAGACATCTCCAAATTTTGCGGAAACCAGCGTTTCGCTCGAGACATCCTCCACAAACTATGTAAAATAAGCGTTTCGCTCGAGACATCCTGCCAAAGTTCTAAGAAATCCTAACAAAACAAGCGAATTAGTCGAGACATCCTCGAAATTCCTGCGCGCGGGACGCGGCACGCGCGAGACATCCTCGGAATTCCTGCGCGCGGGGCGCTTTTCCGAGTCGCGGTCGGGGCTCCAGACCCCGTTATTTTTCGAGGATTCTGCGAAAAACGCTCCGCACCCTCTTTTTTACGAGGGAAAGCGGGGGTCTGCGGACCCCGTTATTTATCGAGGATCCGAGATGGGGGGCGAACTTTCCTCGAGCGGGCACGCACAAAACGCACTTTTTCTAAAAAAATCAGCACTTTACCTCGTTATTTATCGCAAATAATTTCGCCGGCGCTTGACCCGTCAGACCGGGGGTAAACAGCTAAAAGAGAACCCTGGGCCCAAGCCCTTTCCGGGAAATTATGAAAAACAAGCGTTTCGCTCGAGACATCCGGTCAAAATTCTAAGAAATCCTGACAAAACAAACGAATTAGTCGAGACATCCTCGAAATTCCTGCGCGCGGGACGCGGCCCGCGCGAGACATCCTTGGAATTCCCGCGAGCGGGACACGAAAACAAGCATTTCGCCTGAGACATCCTCTGAATTCTGGCCCCCCGCTCGAGACATCTCCAAATTTTGCGGAAACCAGCGTTTCGCTCGAGACATCCTCCACAAACTATGTAAAATAGCGTTTCGCTCGAGACATCCTGCCAAAGTTCTAAGAAATCCTGACAAAACAAGCGAATTAGTCGAGACATCCTCGAAATTCCTGCGCGCGGGACGCGGCACGCGCGAGACATCCTCGGAATTCCTGCGCGCGGGGCGCTTTTCCGAGTCGCGGTCGGGGCTCCAGACCCCGTTATTTTCGAGGATTCTGCGAAAAACGCTCCGCACCCTCTTTTTTACGAGGGAAAGCGGGGGTCTGCGGACCCCGTTATTTATCGAGGATCCGAGATGGGGGGCGAACTTTCCTCGAGCGGGCACGCACAAAACGCACTTTTTCTAAAAAAATCAGCACTTTACCTCGTTATTTATCGCAAATAATTTCGGGCCCGCGCCCTTTCCGGGAAAAATCACGACGTCGGGGGTCTGGGAAGGCCCCGAGACTCCAGAGGGCTGACCCCTTCATCAGCGGCGCGAAGGTCGCCGACTGATGCGCTGCGTACGAGAGAGGCCAGGCCGGCGGGGATGAGCGTCGCCAGCGAGGCAGGGGAATCCAGGGTAGAACAGCCTGCAGGGAGGGCCGGCGGGGACTGACACCGCGGGCCCAACAGGCGGAGGGAAGGACGGCCGAGGCCCAAGTATGAGAACCAAGTGCACGACAGCCGCCCGCGTGAAATACGGAAGGGCGGTCACCGTCGGGGCGCTGTCTTACCCGTCGTATCTGCCATTCCCTGCGGGGATCCAGGGTCGCAGCTAACCGCCGCTATGAGTGAGGAAAAAAAAAACCGCCGTCAGCGCGGGGTCCTGATCAGACCTGAGATTGGGGGGGCGATCACCCCCACGATCCAGGGGTCTGCGAGCCCGGCAGCCTGCCCAGCCCGGGAGAGACCCGAGGGGGGGGGCGGCGGGGACAGACATCGCCGGCCCTCCACGTGGAGGGGCCCCCCAGGGACACCTGGCGAGCGATGGGGGGCATAGAGAAAGACCACCTCGCGATCCAGGGGCATGCGAACTCGTCAGCCTGCCCAGCCCAAGAGGGGCCCGAGGAGAGGGGCGGCGGGGACAGACATCACCGACCCTCCACGCGGAGAGGCTCCCAGGGAGACCTGGCGAGGGGGCAAGGGCGCCGAAGCCAGGGCCCGAACTCCAAGGATGCAGCTAACGGCTAACGGCTGCTCAGGGTCCGCTTTCACTCGTCCAGGGTGGCCTTCGGCCTCTTCCGCTTCGATGTCCAAGGGAGGGCCAGGGTGGCGGCCGGCTGCCGCCTTGGGTGCGGTCGGCATCTGTCCCCGGGAGTACGACAGCAGTCCGTATGAGAGACAGATGGGCGGTCCTCGTCAGGGTTATGTCTCGTGCCCGTAGTCTCTGCCACACCCCGCGTGGATCCAGGGTCGCGGCTAACCGCCGCTCTGAGTTGAGTGAAGACGGAGCGTCCATGGAGGGGACGATCAAGGCAGAGCACCCCCAGGGTTGATGCAGCCTGCTATGGATCTGTTGTCCAGGGGGGCCGTGCCTGCTGCAACGAGAGAGGGCCGCCTCCCACCGCTGTCGCGCCTCTCCGTTCCAGAGTGCACGACTGCAAGGGCACGGGGCTGATTTCTCTTGCTTCCAGGGTGGCCGCGGCCTCTACGGTCGCGAGTCCGATGCGCTGTCCGTCAGGGAGCAGGCGGGGGCCGCCTCTGAGCAAGGGCCCACCCTCTGCAGCACTCGGGCACGGGGAGGCGAGGGT